GAGTGCATCACTGAGCGTCTGTTCGCTTCACTGAACCATCTCGCTTCGGCTGTGAGGAGAGAGTGAGAGCAAGAGCACTCTTTGTTTACTTCAATCTGACCCATAAGAACCAGCGACGTGCAGCTATTGTAAACTGCGATGACTGAGAAAGCACATTGGGGGGAAAAAACGGCTTTATCTAGGTTTTTTGCTAGAGGTTACTGAAATGCACTGAACAGGAGTTCATAACCTCTTACGTCATCAGGAAGGTGAAAGGTCACCTCTATTGTGGGTTTACTTCGACTGTTTTAACTCAGGAAATGGCCGTCAGATTGCATTTCATCTTATGTATTCAGCTTCCTTTATTCAATGAAGTTTGGGGTTAGGATGGGTATAAATGGGCCACATGTGTGCCTTGTGGGTAGAAGCCTCTCCATTTGTGGATTGTGATGCTGACAAGATATCTCCTTGGGCTAAAACAAACATTATCTTTATGGAAGCATGAGCACGGCTGATTCTTGTGGATCTTGAGTATAAATATTGTATGCATTTTATATAATAATAATTATAGCAAAATAAAAGCCCGCCTCGAACGCATCGGCCAAACAGAAAAACTTATCGCCCGATGCCGATATTTGAAAAATGCCAAATATCGGCCGATATACCGGCCTTGGCGATATATCGGTCAACCACTAATCATATGATGCAATTTCAAATTTTCCTTTCTCTTTGGAGTGTTACAAGCTGTTCGTGCATAGATAAGATCCCTAAACTTGGGCTAAAACAAACATTATCTTTATGGAAGCATGAGCACGGCTGATTCTTGTGGATCTTGAGTATAAATATTGTATGCATTTTATATAATAATAATTATAGCAAAATAAAAGCCCGCCTCGAACGCATCGGCCAAACAGAAAAACTTATCGCCCGATGCCGATATTTGAAAAATGCCAAATATCGGCCGATATACCGGCCTTGGCGATATATCGGTCGACCACTAATCATAACCCTATAAGGTATTTTAAGAGAGATTATGTTGTCAATAAAATCGTTTATCCAAAAATAAAACGTCTTATCACTTAACCTTTATTTTGTTTTTTATCCATGACTTACAAAAAGAGATTTTAGGCAGAATGATGTCATTCAGCTCATCCGCTGTTTCATGCAGATATTTTTATGTATAGTTTCACAAAACTGAATTCAAACCATTCTGTTTTTGCTTCAAATTTCGAAATTATACAATTTAATTTAGATTAAAAACTGCTCATGTTGCATGTATGCAGCATCTTTGTTTGGATCAAGATTAAAATGCAGGAATCGAATCGTGAAATCGTGAATCGAATCGAATCGTGAGTTGAGTGAATCGTTACATCCCTAGTGCCAAATATATTTATTTATATAAATTAATTGTATAACTGTAATTACATAATATGACTTTCAAAAGCTGAAGTGATTACCTTCATTTATTTGTTAGAATATGTATAACTCAATATTTTAACTAATTGCAAAAGCTGAATAATCAATAAATGTCTACTTTTTAAGCAGCCAAATAATCGACGATTAGTCGATTAATCGTTATAATAATGGTTAGATTAATCGATTATCAAAATAATCGTTTGTTGCAGCCCTAATGTCATAATGTTGAGTTCGAGCAATTTTTGGTCCATCATATATAGTCTGCCTTTTCTGAAAGTCAGACTGTAAAATCACAAGACTGATTGACGTCCACATATTTCAATTTATTGAAGGAACAAATTTTAATTTAACTCCAAAGGAGTTAATCTAATACCAGAGATTTTATCAAATAGACTGAGATCTCTCATCACTAATACTGGATTAGTATGGCAAAGTACGAGATCATTTGATGTTTTTGGCCTTTGTGCCAATTTTCATGATATGCTGCCATAAACATTGCCTCAGTAGCTTGTTAGGAAGTGCTCTGTTTATTACAGTTTGTAATTAGCCACAGATTTCTCCCTTTTCTGTAAGCGACGAGTTTGTTAAACTAGACTCTCTCCTTGACAGTTAACAAGAGAGTGAGACGGCGAGGTGATGCCGCACTGGCAGGTCTTTGTTCTCAGGACTGCGGGGCATGAAGAGATGGTGCCAGTCACTTGAGAGAAGAAAGATCAGCCAGCTCGGTCTCAGGTGCTGGGTGGAGGGAGTGTAAATGAAAAACGCTGAAACTCCCATTTCCTTTTCAGCCTATTGCTCGCCTGCACTGGCCCACTAATCTTTGCGTCTGTGCTTGCAGAGTAATGCACAAAAGCAAGACGTTCATTAGGGAAAACACTTAAATGAAAGCTCTCGCTCCTTCCTGCATTAGCGTACTCTCTAGATTTAATGGTCAACTGGTTGGGATTAGTAAGGGTTAACTAGTTTATCTGCCTTTTTTGTCCTATTCTGTCAATCTCAATTATTCTGTGTTTATAAATATGACCAGCATAATAACACTGGGCATCTTTTGACTGACAACAACCCAACAGCTAGTTGATTATGGATACATGTAGTTCTGCACATCCCTGCTTTGGATTTATTTTGTTGCCTCCGGTGTTCTGGATTAGCATTGTGGCGAGATCCAATTTCTAGGTCCAAGTGTCCATGCTGTGCCTGATTTCTTTTACACATTCAGTCCTGTCCCCATAGCTGATGTTCAGCCCTAATTGGTATAATGTCTTCCTTTCACTTTTGATTTAATGGCTGCTCAACAGGTGCAACTTGTGCTTGTGCCTCTCGCTTGGCCTTTTTCCCCTCATTTGGTCAATTCAGCTGTTAAAGTCACATTGATTTTAATTATCACAGAGAGTCTGGAGCTTGTACACGGCCACATAATGGCCACTAACAGTAGCCCTGACTTCCAAATTTGTTATTTTTGGTGACATGGCTAACTAGGTGGAACAAAACCAGCAGCTGTATATAGAATCTTTATAGTACTCTCAACCGCGAAGCTATTTGCTGTCTCTCAACCCCTGTTTTAAAAAGCTGGTGTTTTGGTGCTGGAAGAATGATGTCGTTTCCTGTTCCCCCAAACCACTTCCTCTTTTGGCTCATCTCAGCTAGTGCTGAGACTGAGGTTGGTGCTATCCCTTTGTTCATTCGGTACTGGAAGCTAACACACCCATCCTGTTGAACGTTTCGCACTCATTCAGGGGCAAATTGTCAAGAGCTTCCTTTTAAGTGGCCTACTTTTAAGTAAAAAAAAAAGCCACTATGGAGAATCCACCTCAAAAAATATCACTACAGATTAGGCTTGCCGTGATAGACGGTGCTGACGGTGATACCGGTGTTAAGCCGCAACACCGGTTAAGATGCTTGCCCACTGCGTCACCGACCCCCACCATCGTTTTGATTTTTTATAGAAATAAAAATCATTTAGTTCAGTAAAAGAACAGATGTATTTGTTTTGTTAATAAAAGTTCTATGTTTTATATTTATATAAATTTCCTCAACGTCACAACCCTACTACAGATCATAGCGTTGTACCTTGCCATTTAATTAGATCCAGATGTCAGTTGAAGAGTGCACTACTGCTGTATACGATAATTCATTTTGTTTCTGAGTGTGTTTACACTTGTAGGTTTGGTTGTATTGGTAAACTATAGCTACACTTAGTCCTGGTTCTTTTAGTATCATTTTTAAAACCGAATCTAAAGATACTAAACTAAAGGCACAAGGATACAGTCACAACCTGATTGCACAGTTTTGATGTGGTTCTGACACCTGCATCAAACTGTAATAGGCAACATATCTCCTATGATGAGAAGAAAGGGTATGAACATTTTGTCCTTTTTGGGGTCTCATCTTGTGACATCACATCCTGTTCATTTGAAAGTAGATCAAGATCCATCTTTTTCACTTGTTTAGTGAACACCAAAGTTTGGATGGCAGTGTTCACACTTACTCAAATGATTCCTAGTAGGGATGGGCGATATGGGCTTTAAAATATATCACGATAATTTCTGATATTTATTGCGATAACGATATCAATGACGATAATTTAGGGAATCCTGTTTCTTTAGAGCAGTGGTCACCAACCTTTTTAGGCCCAAGATCCCTGACCTCAGCCTTTATGAAAGATAAGATCTACCTATTGAAGAATTGATAGAAAAAGACATCCCAGATTGTACTTCAAATTTGAGGCCTTTTACTTAGTATTTTAATTAGCGATGCGCCGATCATAGCTAATTCAGATTTTATTTTCTTTCTTTCTTTATTTTTTTTAACTAGCAAATTGGATTCTGATACTGATTTTTAAGCTCACTCTCTGACAGCAGGTGATGCCTATGAACAGGGTTGCCAGGTTTTCGCAATAAATCTAGTCCAATCGCGTTTCGAGGAGGGTTCCCCTGTAAAAAACGCATTCCGGGGGTAAAATACACGTTTTTCGGTGGGGATCTTCAAGTAAAATTCACATTCCAGGGACTAAATATCACGTTATTGGGGTCGCTCACAGAAATATGTCAACAACTAGACTTTATCGTTATTATTGCGGGAAGACAAATTCTTATCGTGTGGAGAATTTTTACCAGTATATCGCAAACGATAAGATATCGCCCATCCCTAATTCCTAGTGTTTGTTTTAATTTAACCAAACCTGCCAAGTGTAAACGCATCCAAATCAGTGGTTTATTAGTATTTCAGTCCTTACGTGAATTTCTTAGATTTTAATGAAAGCATAAATGTTATCAGGAAGTTGGTTTTCTTGTTGATGTTCTAAACAGCTCAAAGTTGAGATCACTTCTCCCTTCTGTCAGTTTTCAAGCACATCACATGTCCATTAGTGCAGGGAGCACATCCGCTCAGATGTCAGGACTAAAGGCTCATTCTCCATCTTAAAATCAGCCTTTACCCAATTTCATTTCAGCATTGCACAGAAAGTGGTAAGCTGTGCAACAGACCAGAAGTCAAAAATCATATTTAGACTGTGTCATATTGTTCAGATCATCCTGTCTGTGTTTTACAGTTTAATGTTTATGTAAGAAAGCTAGATATTGGCAGCTACTTCACAATTTAATGAAACTTTTAATGCAAATGTTATGGTTTACCATGCAGTTGTGCTTGAAAGTTGGCCAAATGCCGGAGAGAGACTGTCCACGTCCGCAAATGAGAGTGAAATGCAGTATCAGTTTCAATCTCTCTCGTGTGGCTTGCTTCACTTTTGGTCCAGTACTCCATCTCATGGAACTGTGTTAAAAAAAAAAGCCTTTTTTGAGTTTGAGCATATTTAGATGACCTGCTGTTGTTACATTGGAGGCAGTGTTGCTTGGTCAAATATTGATCTGTATGCTATGGTACAGGTTTGCAAGCAGACAAGAAGAGGAAGTGCTTGTACGTTTATTACCAGACTGTCATGTGCAGTCTTTTTTGCATGTGCAAAACTTTTCACTTCCATCATGCTTTTCGTATCTCAACACACACACACTAAATCAAAGCGTGTGAGCGTGTTAATGACAGTATGCCAAGATCAGGGTCGTTTCTGACACATCTGTAATTATATCTTTGATTATCACCCTTGGCTTTGTGACGGAGCTCCGCTGGCGTAGCGCTCGCGTAGATCCGTTCTGCAGGATTAGATGAGCTTCAGGACGCCGTTCATAAATGCTGGCAGTCCAGTGTCTCTACAGCTGATAAGTTTTTTATTTTTCAATTTTAGTTTGAAACATTCTAGTACATCAAGTTTTGAACTAAATGAAAATGAAAATGGTTTGCTTGGTCACTAGCTGAAATAAAAATAAGTTTGTGGTTATTATTTTGTTATATTTCAGTTCATGTTGTGTCAATTAAACTTTTTTTTTTTAAAGTTTTATATAAAAAGTTTTGTAAAGGCAAGTATCACTCATATTTTCCGTAGTAAATGTATAAATCTAGTTGCCATTGTTGCTTGCATAATTCACTTTAAATATATAGTAGAATTTAAAATTCATGCTTGATAATGATAATACAGCTGTCACGATTCAGATCTGTGTGTGTGGAACGAACATTGAAGGTCTCGTTCTTTAACAGGGATGATTGAAAGACTTATTGAATCATTTAACCCTTTAGGTGCCAGGGATTTTTGGAAAAAATGCTGGATTTTGACATCAAAATTTCAAAAGCTTGTGGCTTGAAAGGCCTTAAAGGGGACCTATTATGCTCTTTTACAAAGTCTTGAATTTGTTTTGGGGGTGTACTAGAACATGCTCTCATGCTTGGTGGTTTGAAAAACGCATTATTTTTCACATAATTTACATTATTAAAATACCTTTCTCCACAGGCTGGCACAAACGGCTCGATTAGTTCCGGCTTTGATGAAGGTCCACCTTCCGAAAAACAAAATGTGTTGTGATTGGTTAGCTGTCCCAGTGCATTGTGATTGGCGAACAGCTTAGACAGTGTTTCATTACTGCCACGCCCCCTGCTCCGTCTTTCAACAAAAACGTTTGGGCGAATCCGGCAGGCACTTTACTCACTCGTGTTGTGGAAGCTGTCCTCAGTAAAATGCGCAGCACACAATAGCAAATTGGGGTTATAATGCTCAGGAACAGAGTTAAAAAATAAATTGCAACCATTGTTTCCTGACATCATCCGCTTTCGGAAGCCCAAACAAAGACGCTTGGGCACGGAGGTGAAAAAAAAACAGCGTTTCAGGGCACCGGACGAGAAGCGTCACGCCACGTCTTTAAAATTCAAATACTTTATTTTCTGTGAGTGTAGGCACACCGGCGGCGCCGTTCGGCGTCTGTCCGCGGCGCCCAGCTACGTCGTGTTGTACTTGTAAGAATTGTTCTAGACATGCCGAAAATTTGAAGCTACAGAACAGCAGCTCTTCTTCTTGGTTTTCTCTGATGCACTAACTCTGCAGCAGCACTTCTTCTTCGTCGTCTCGTCTGATGCACTCACTCAACCAAGCGTTCTAACCACAACCTCGCCCCTCCCCACCCCCCAACTTTTTTTTTTTTGTCTTTTTATCCTCATTCCAAATGATCAGAAAAGAGGAAACCAACAATAAAACAGGAGAAAGTACTAAATTACCAACAGGCTCATCAAAGCGTTTTATCCAGTCCTGATACACTTCTTCATTTCTCAAATAAACCCAACCACCATTGTCATCGCTATTTCCAGCCCTATTTAGATCCAGATCACCCCTGCTGCCTCTACCACGTCTCCCAGCTCTCCCACGCACAGCACGGCCACGTGTACCGCGGCCACTCCCACCTCTTTGGGGCAGCTAGTGCTACTTCCAGCCCTATTTCTCCTACCCCTGCTGCCTCTACCTCTAGCAACAGCTCTCCTATGGACACTACGGCCACGTTCTCCACTGCCACCCCCATCCCCGTTGGGCAAAGGGTCGAAATGATCACTTGTTTGTGCTTTGTGAACACTCTCGCCTTGCACGGTGGCACCATTGCGCTGCAAAAATGTACCGGAAGAAGCGCAATTATTAGACGGCCGATCGTCATTTCCAAAAGGCAAATATTCCCCTTCAGAGTCAGAATCGGCGAATAACATTTGCAACACATCCTCACGGTACAACTTTCTATTATCCATTTGGCGATTTTCTCTCACAAATCTCACAATTTACTCGCACGCTATGAACTGAACTGCTTCCGCATCAATGACACGATAGCTCACTTGCTCTGCTATTTCCTCGAACACTTTGAAAAGGAACGTGACGTAATTTTGGTCTAGAATCGAAGTACTACATGTCTGCCATCTAGTGGTAGGGGATACAAATGAGATATTACACCATATTTGGAACTACAGTCTATTTTATTAAGTATGACGTCTTGTCGCAATTTTGCGACTTCGGCGCTTAGAGGGTTAAAAGAGCTTTCAAATGAGTTTGAATACTGCTGTAACAACCACTGTGGTGCCCAAGCAGGTTTAATTAAGCATTTAGTGTGTAATGAAGTGTACACCACCGATCCGCTGTGTTCGGGTGGGAGAGCTTGTGTGTATGTATTTCAGAATGCTGGAATAAAGTTAGCTTTCTCCACAATTAACCTGTCTTCTATATCATACCTGTTCTTACCTCACATTACATACTCTTTTAACCCAGGGCAGGAGGAAACTGGCAATCATTTTACTAGGGGAAGCACCGTTTGAAGTGCTGACTTGCAGTCACGCCTCAGGCCTCTTCACCAGCTCTCTGAGACTGTTGAGAGCCACTTGACGTTTTTTCCAATACGGGCAATCCAAAATGTTTAACACAGAAGTTGCAGCAGAGACCTTATTTGTTTCAGAGTTACACCACTTCCTGCTTTCAACTTCCTGCTTTAATCCAAGATGTACGGCAGGAGAAACAGCAGTCTGACTCACACTGTGACAAGCTCTGACAGTCCGTTCTCAAGATAACGCATTGGTTTGTAGATGGCAGATGATGTGCGTATACGGTGCCACAGATGCCTGAAGCTGTGCCCTTTTATCTCGGACAACTGCGGCTGTCATCAGCCTGCCGCTGAGAGGATGATTAGAAGATGGATTAAGTAAAACCTTCATCTCAATGAAGAGAAAATCCCTCAATGTTTGATTAGACAGGAACGCATGAGGAAGGATGATAAAGACTGCACTTCCTAAGTGCTTAGTGACTCAGGCAGGGGAATGAATTGCACAAATGAGAACGTTTGAGATGACATGATGGTGGGATTTCAGTGTTTTTTTGTTTTTTTTTTGACTGCTGCTTATACCTGGATGGTCTTGGCTCAAAAGGGTTTATTTAAATTAGAGCATTTTGTGCAGACCTTTGATTTCAGAGATTGGTTCAAGGCAATTGGTTTTATTTATTCGTGTCAATATATCAGTTGATATTTAGTTGTGCATGCTCATTTCCTGTTTTTGCCTTGGATTAGCTTTGCTGTCATCTAACGTTCACTTAATCTTTAAAAACAAACGTAGCCTAATTTATAGGGGTGGGGGAAAAATTTGATTCTTAGATGCATCTCGATGTGGACGATTCTGAATCGATTTACAGATGTCAAAAATCGATTTTCTATTTCTTAATGTTAATTGATAACGTGATGTTGACGGAATGCAAAAGGCAGAACTCTAACCCCTTATTTACACTGCACGCATCCGCAGCACGTTATGGCTCCGACAAGGTTTTGTTCCAGCCTCCAAGCATTGCCAACTCACACCAGAAAGCGTTAGGGCCCTTTCACACGGAACGCGGCAAGCGGTGGAATCGCCGCGCGGTTGCTGCTTTCTCTCGTAGTGAAAGAATTTTGTGCAGTTGAAGGCGGTGCTTCAGAAACGTGCTGTGGTGCGGCTGGTGTAAACACGAGCATTGACTAGAGTGGCCGTGATCAGCTCCGGTGGCCACGTCGGAGCCGTAATGCGTCGCAGACGCGTGCAGTGTAAATAAGGGGTAACAGATGCATGATGGTGGCACGTGAAATCAGACCAGCACCTTCTGCGTTAAAAGCTAACGTATGGAAGCACTTTGGCTTCTAAGAAGTTGAAGGGGGAAAGACCCTGAACAAGAGCCACACTATGCAAGTTGTGTCAAGCCAAACTAAAATATTTTGGAAACACAGATATGAGAAACCATATTACAGAATATGCTGTAAGTCTGTATTAATTTGAAAAATCTGTATTAAAGCTAAAGATGCATCGATAATAGTTTTATCATCGCATCGCAGCCCTCTGAATCGTAATCGAATTGTGAGGTGCCTAGAGATTCCCACCCCTGCTAATTGAATAGTTCTTAGTCAGTTAATTCTATTGTATGTTTTTATATGTAATCATTCAATAGCACTTTTGGTAACACTTTAGTATAGGGACCAATTCTCACTATTAACTAGGGATGGGCGATATCTTATCGTTTGCGATATACCGGTAAAAATTCTCCACACGATAAGAATTCGTCTTCCCGCGATAATAACGATAAAGTCTAGTGGTTGACATATTTCTGTGTGCGACTGTGTGGAGTGACGTGAAGGAAGGCGGACGTGAAAGTGAGCAGCTCCTACAATCTGGAACAGGTTTGGATAGGGCTGTACAGTGCGACAAAAACCGGTCTGAGCCTCGAGTAAATGTACTACAGTAGCACATGTGCGACACAGATTTACATGTGTATGAGTCGTTTACAAACCTGTTGTCCAACAAAGATATTTTAATTTATTGACATGCTTTTTCTCCATATTAACTTCATAACATAGTTGAGTGTTTGAAATAACTTATTTTTGTGATCAGACGTGGTTTCGTATCACAGAATAAGGCAGAAATCATACTATTTTATGGTATTATATACAGTGATAAATGCTATGTCGGTTAGCATTGCATTATAAATATACTATAAAAATACCCAAGATTGCTTGAAGAACACAGATACCAGATATTTTGTGCAATCGCATGTTTATTGTCTTCAGGTTTCCGGAGTTAAAATTTCTTTATCTGAGTTTTATTCAGCTACAGCGATCACTGGATACTTCTTCCTGGAGCATTACTTATATTATGCATATGTGGAGTTTCTGCGCAAGGGCGCCCTCCGGCTTCCAGTATGAATTAAACAGTCATTACATTACGTGTGTACTCCGTAATGCTCACAACACCCTATTTTTGGTAAAAATAGGAAAGATAATACTTTTCTCTAAAGCAGTGGTCGCCAACTCGTCGATCGCGACTGGTAGATCTTTATCACAGTCCCAGTAGATCCCAAAAAAAAACAGTAAAATAAGTACAAAAATGCATTACATTTATGGGGTTATATTAATGTATCACTGAAGGGTACTGTCTTGAGAAAAGTTTCGATGGCAATGGCATTTTCTTCTTCGTATAAAGCGCAACTCTGCTTTGTTTACAGCGGTAAACAAGGAAACGCTATATTTGATATAATCTCAAAATTGCTATCAGATTTTCATACAATATTTTATTAATTTTTTTAGACAAAATAGTATAGAATTTTAATATTAGTGCTTTCCAAGTTAATTTGTTTTGAGGCCAATAATATCATTTTAAAAAGAGACCTATAGGGGGCTCTGGTCCGGCCTAAGCAAAAGAACCAAGTGTTAAAACTTATGGTGTGCGTTTGGCCTAACTGAACCTTGAAGTCCTTTATGCATGATTTAAAAAGGGAGGAGAAAGTGTGTCGTAAAAGAGAAAATAGGAGGGATTTCAGCCATTCGGGAGAGTGTGTTTGGGGTTGGAAAGGGTGCAGCTGGGGCTGGCCCGCACCGCAGTACTGAGGGCTTTGTGATTTGTAATTATGTCGTGCTCCGCAGGCCTGTAGTTTTGTGCCCTGCCACAGAAAGACTCTTTGTGGGGCAGAATAACGTGAGCAGACTGTGAAAACCCTCAGAGAGAGAGAGAGAGAAGTATGGCTGCAGCCCTCAAAGATCCACCCACATAATGAGAGAGAAAGTAAGTGAAAGGTAACTCAGCCCAGAGCCTACCCCTCAAGTTGTCTGAGTCTTTACGATCATCTCAACTCCACTGTGACTCCTCAAACTTAACATTTGGATGTTTATGCTCTTCAATTCTAGTGAATGTGATCTGATGGTCTGCCACACGTGACGTTATTATTATTATTATACATTGTTCGTGAAGGTTTTCTTAAGAATAGTGCGGCACAGTGCTGCTGTACCTTTGAACAGTCTGTGTCAGAGCTGTTCCTCCACTGCTGGGCTAATCATTAGCTTGGGGCAGCTGTGTGTCACACCACTCCAGTAGCAGGAGATGGGACACGGAGATCAATAATGGCAGGATACACAGCTACCTGATTGTGAGAGCTCTAGGGCAGTGAGAAGTGCATGAGAGAGAGAAGAAAGTGGTGAGACGGGAAAAAGATAGGATATAAAAACGTATATACTTATGTGGGTTTTCTAAACGCTGTGATTCAGTGTTTTGCAACAGGTGACAAATAATGTGTCACGTTCTCTGATGTAAGTGAACCACAATTATACGGCTGTGTACTTTACAGTAAGTGAAACTCATCATGGAAAATAACAGTTCTGTTGTATTCTGCTTGAGCAATAAAGTCATACAGGTTAGAATTGACATGAGGGTGAATAAATGAGGAGAGCTTTCCATTTTTGGGTGAACTGTGCCTTTAATGAAATCCACCACAAAAAAACAGTGCTTATTTCTTCACAATCTTGCATCCATTGAATCCCAAGCCTCGAGTGCAAAGGTTCTTTAAACAAGAAAGAAATGCAGGAAACAGGGAGCAAGGGCAAGAAAACCATGTGATTACACAAAGCACGTAAGAGTTGAGCTGTGTAAGTTCCAGAGGGAAAGCTTGTCGAGGCTGGCTGGAATAAAAGACCTATTTTATAGTCGACACGAGCGCTTTAAACCTGAGCTATTCAAGGTTAAAGTGCCATGATTCCAACTGCATGCACATGAGACGCTACTGTAATAGAGTGCAAGAGTTGGCTTCTGGAAATAAACATCCCACTGTTTTTCTCCAAAGAGTAGCCTAATTGATTTTTAACGATAACTTTGTTTTTGTTACTCAGTGGTACATGCTTTTTTAAGCCATTCTTTTGCATTATTTCAATTTATTTCGACATTTAATAGCAGAATTCTTGGCAGAAAAACTACATTACCCATGATTCTGCAGAGAAATCTTTACTAATCACAGAATTATGACAAGCAAATCCCACTAAGTATCTCTTTAGTGCTCTTAAATTACTTAAAAAATAAATAAAAAATATGTAGCAAAAAATGTAAATTATATTTTCTGTATATATAATTAACATCTGTAAATCAGTAGTTTTATATTTATCTGTCATTTTTAATTAATTTGCCTGCTTTGTGGGTGTTTAAAGCATTTTAGAAAGGTACAATGACTTTTTGTCCAATTTTTCAAATATTGTTATTCACTTCGTAGCTGATTGGTTTGGTTCATGTCTTATAAGACATTTTAAAGGGTTAGTTCATCCAAAAATGAAAATTAGCCCATAAATTACTCACCCTCAAGTCATCCTAGGTGTATATGACTTTCTTCTTTCAGACGAATCCAGTCGGAGTTATATTAAAAATTGTCTTTGATCTTTCAAGCTGTTTAATGCCACTCAGCTGGTGTTGCATGCATCAGTCCAAAAGCACTTAATTAAAATGCGCCCATCCATAAAAAAAAACGGGGTGAACAAAGGCCTTCTGTAGCGAATCGATGCGTTTTTGTAAGAAAAATATCTATATTCAAAACGTAATAATCACTTTAATGTAGCTTGCGCCAACAGTTGTACACGAAAGCAGCTCTGGGAGCATGACATATGAGGTCAGTGCTGCGCATGCACCGGTGAGTCTCGTGAAAACCAACGTTTGCTAACCCTTTAAAATCCCAATGGGAAAACCCATCTAAGGTTGCTGTAAAAATGGACGGGCAATGTTGCAGTCTATAGGGTGTTTTGAATAGGAAGTTTTAGATGGTTGCTTACTACTTTTTTTCCTTGTAAACATTTATCACGGTTGTTCCTGTGTTTGGTTGCTACCCTTGTACAACTTGAATGACTCTGAGGTTAGTGATGTTCTTTTGCCCTTTAAGCTCCTTTTAGTCTTTCCCTTTGAAGCCTGGAATTTCAGTCTGCCACACACACACACACAGACTTACACCTCAACCCCACAGAACTCACTCCTAAAATGAGTTTTCCTTGCCCTAGCTTTTGTAACCATGGATACGGCTCCAGGAAAGCCGCCTTGAAGGGCCTGTCTGTGCAGAACTTCCATTAAATGAAATTAATTAGCAGCTGAAAACTTAAACAAGATTGCTTATGCTAATAAAACGTGCCTCTGATTCAGAAAGCAAGGCTTAGGTTTTTTTTCTTTTTAACATCAGCCGGCAAAGTCATTATCTTCTGTAATTTATACCGTGAATTCTTCAGGATGGTAATGGGAAGCTGTGTAGCAGCTGAATTCTGCTTTGGTCGTTTTCTCTGTCCCTTGGGTCACAGAGATAGTGGCATGACAACATTTCCTGGCAGTTTTTGCTCATTTTGATGTAGTTTTTGTGATATTACACACACAATTCCTCAGCATTGAAGTGAAGGAATTAATTATCAATTGATTAATTTTTGAAATGCCAAACAATCGTAAAACTTGTTTGTATGCAAGATATTCACTTTCTTAAAAGTCCTGTTGCAAGAAATTCTCTGACAAAGCAATAAATGTGTATTTGCCTGTAGCGTTTTTCGCATTCTTGGAGCGAAGAGCTGAGGAGAATGTTTAATTTTCAGCATTGCCTTGTTTATACAAGTTATAGAAAACCGGGCGCCTTGCCTTAAACTCCTTGAAACAATGGAAAGTCAAATGTCTGTCTACTACACTCTTCGTCCTTCAGTCAGGTGTTCTCAGGTTGCTCGATTTTTTTGCTTGAGGTTGAATAAAGGTGGCCGCCTGAGGCAGTTGCTTCTCTGAAGTGAGTTTGCCAAAACTGACTGACAGATGTGGTCCGATTGTATTGTGTATAAGAAGAGAAATCAGCCATGATGACCCATGCTCAAGTTTAGTGTTGAGTCAGGGGTAGGGTTGCAAAAAGGTGGAACATTTCCAGTGAATTTCGGAAATATTCCAGAAATTTTGGAAACTTTCCAGGATTTTTTGGAATATTCCAGGGATTTTTGGAAAGTTTCCGGAAATTTACCGGAAATTTTCCACCCTTTTGCAACCCTAGTTAGGGGTGCTTTAAATTTGTGTTGCAATGAGGTACAATACAGTGCAGAGGTGACCGTCTTTAGTGTTATCTGTGTTATAGTGCTGTGGAAACATTAATGTAGGGGTGGATATTTTGTGCTACGCTAACTGGCGTCCAGAACAGGAAGGGTTGGGGCGGAACCCTCACGCAAGCTTCCTGTTAGGCAGGAAGTATGTTTGGATAGTGACACGGTTTCACCCTAGCAGTGATCCAATGCAAATAGCTCTCCACAAGCATCAGCTATGATGAATGAATAACAGACACCAAACCACATGCGCAGTATTTTCCCCTCTCTGTTGGGAAGACAATTCCTTTTAGTTTATACACCAAGGAGATTTGTCTTCTACCTTTCAAACACGTTGTAATTTCAACCCTCTACGGACACCTTGGCAATTGAATCGCCATTGGCATCAGGTTGTGTGCGTTTACTCGAACTGATTCGCTGAAATCAAAACAGGGACGATAATAGGTGAGCGCCAGCCAATGAGATTGTCGTTTGCGCATTAGTTCCGCCTACTACCGGAAAACCCGGCAGGTCTTAAAAGCTGAAGAATTCCAAAGGAACTCCGTTATTTTTACAGGAAAATACAACAAAGTATATCGTTTACATGTAGCGCATCAATTCTGCATTTTATAAAGACTCTCGCTCGCTCTTTGCGCGTGTGAGAGAAAGCGACGGCGAGTCGTGCGCCTTCACACTAGAGTTTACGTTACGCCAAATACACAAACACAGGTGTGCTGTGCATCCATTCAAATGAACTGAAAAATATCACAAATCGCTTGACGGAGAGTGAAACTCTGAAGCGCTCACTCAGAGTGTTCTGTGAGTGAAAATATATCTGTGCTAATCATATACTCAGCCTCCAACTCACACACTGGAGAGTAAAATCTGAGAATTGATTAGCCATTAGCTAATATTACACATCATTTAGTCGCCAGAGTGAAGATTTAGTCACATATGCGAGTGATTTACTCGCAATGTAGAGGGTTGAATTTATTATATAATAAGACTCTGCAGCAAACTTTTAACACCGAACCAACACTGTGCCTGATGGGAAAACAACCAGAATCTACCAGGAGGTATATTACAAAATTGTGACACCATCCTTCATCCTGAAAAGCGGTAATTGAAATGTGTAAGGCTGGAGTTTTGACTCTGTATAAATCAGTGTTGCACTTGTTGACAGGAAGTGCTTCAGTTTGGCAATGATATCATATTTGGACAGAATGGAGAAGGATGGTCACCAAAAGAGCATGGCATTGAACTGGTAACTTAAATAGAAAGTCGGTTAAAAAATGAACCATCAAGGCATATTTCCTCCCACATATTTATATTTGGTTTTGTTTAGCTTGTTTTTAATTCTCTATGCTCATCGAAGCACTTCTGCAGAAACATTTATGGCTGACGTGCTGTGACACGATTTTACACTTCATTAGGCTTGGGCCAAAGTGACCTCTCACAGATGTAATTAAAGATGTAAAAGTCGCTGTTGTTTTTGTTTTGCGCATCTTCTCTTGCACTCCATGTGATTTATTTACTACAGGGAATTCTGGAAATTGCCTTCCCTTCATTGAGCTTGCTAGCTTGTTTCGTACAAATAAATGTGTTGAGAAGGGCTGTGGAGACAGAGTGGGTGGCATTTAAAAGCACTTTGCTGGTCACAGTGTGTGACTCTCTAAAGGTTATCGACGTCTGTAGCTGACCCTCATGAGGTGAGAAGACAATGCAAAGGAGTCTTTTGTCATTGATGCCAATTTCCTGTTTCTGAAGTTTGTAAGTATGATAATTTGCATATTTCAGTCTTCCCTTTCTTCTCTTCCTTAAATTTGAAATACTTCTTCCTCTTTAAATATTTTTCAGTTGCAGCAGCACAAGGTTTGTCGTCTTGTCTCTTGAAAGGGACAATTCACACAAAAATGAAAATTCTGTCATTTACTCACTCTTGTGTTCGAAAAAGATATATTGTAAAAAAAATGTTTGTCCATGCAATGAAAGTCAGTGCAGTGTTATTTTAGTTTTATGTATATACTACTATTGTATTTATCATATTTTGAACTGCCTTTTAATTTTCAGTTTTCATTTTTATTTTAAGTTTTAGTAATTTAGTGGTGTGCTTTTTTACGTTCATGTTTTTTTTATAAAAATAAAAGCTAAAAATAAATATTTTACTTTCTCGAATTTTAGTATTTCAGCTTATTTCAAACTCATTTCAGTTAGTTGTCAAGGCAGAATTTCTCTTTTTCCTCTAATATTTATATCAGCTTTATTTCAGTTAACCAAAATTATTTTTTAAAAGTTTTACATTACATTAACAACACCGCTCCAATGTTGTTTTGGTCCCTGTTGACTTTAATTGTATGGACAAAAAGAGATCATTCTTCAACATATCATCTTTTGAGTTCATTTTTGAGTCCACATTTTTTGCATTGATGACGCCTTGTCTGTTCTTTGACTCAAAACCTCAACTTCCCTTCAGCTCCATTCAGCAGAGTGGCACGTTGAATCTCACAGATTGGCACTTTGAAACACACCCCATCCTCTTCCTATGTGAACATTCACCAACCCATGTCAAAGTTTTTTAATGCAAAGTCACTTAAGTTTGTTTGTTGCTCAACAAGCTCAGTGTCCTCCATCACACTACTATCATGTCAGAGATTTACCTTACTAGCGGTAAATGACCGTATCCATCCCTCTGTTTGTTGTGCCCTCAGACTAAAGCACGTAGTTGTGTTTTCACAACTAAAAAGGACAGCGATAGCAATCATTCGCTGCAGTAACTGCCAAAGACTGTGAGACCCTGAGAACTTATCTGTAATCTTGACTCATTCTGCATATTATATTTCACATGCAGGGCATCTTCTCAAGAAAATGGGATGTCACAACTAAGACTCCATTGCTTACCATGTTTTAAACAAAGTCTTTGCTACATCAAGTTTTTATGCCACTTTTATCATGCCACTTGGCCACAGTCAGACAAGCGTTTCACTAAAGTCATCATAGAAGTTTATGCTTTGGTAAAATTGCATTAAACTTAATTTTCACTGTTGACATAGATGTTAAAATGCACTGTAATTGTTTTTGTATGCATATGAAGTCGGGCCCAGCTAGCTAGGCCTAGCTGCAGTGTTTGTTTCCATGAGACTGCTGTGACGTTTGTTTTAAAAGCAAACATGCCTGTTTAGGCGGGTGAAAGAGAGAGGGAGAAAGGCAGAAAATTGAAGTGCGAAGCATGGAGTGCTGGGAATAAGGGAGTTCACGATAGTACAGCCATTCATGCAAGTGTTGACTGCGGCCAGCTGTTTGCACATTCAGCGAGGTGAAACTCTTTTGGACTTCCATCAGTGTTGTGTTTGGAGTTTTTGAACCTATGTGAGCTTTTTATTGCAAGCTGTTATTTTACTGTGCAAGAAACAAGACTAAACAATCCTTTCCAGACACATTCTTTGTATTATTAATAGCCCATGTGTGACGTAATGTACAGCTGTGCTTCTTTTTAACAGAATTTGGTTGTTTTTTGGAAATCTATCCTTTACTGGGATCGCTTACGCAAGATGGCGGCGCGGTCGGACGCAGCGGCTACTCCGGGTCCCAAAAACGGTGTTTTTATGTCTGTTAGTCTCGTTTCCTCGTCTTCTTATTTTATTTTATTATTATTATTATTATTTTTATTTATTTCTTTTTTTCTTTTTTTTCTTTTTTAATTTATGCATAGGTAAACATTTATATATATATATATAGTATATTCATAGTCGAAATCTGTCAGTAGGTTAGCTGTGTATAGGTACAGTGTTTATGTGAAGCATCCGTATAGACTGTATTTTTTTAACTTATGTATAGGTAAACATTTATATATATATATATAGTATATTCATAGTCGAAATCTGTCAGTAGGTTAGCTGTGTATAGGTACAGTGTTTATGTGAAGCATCCGTATAGACTGTATTTTTTTAACTTATGTATAGGTAAACATTTATATATATATATATAGTATATTTATAATCAAAATCAGTCAGTAGGTTAGTTGTGTATAGGTTTTTACTGTTTTACTTCACTGTTGTATGCCTGTATTTATGTAACACCGTGGTCCTGTGAGGCACGACATTTCGTTCCACTGTATGTCCCCACATGCAGCAGAATGACAATAAAGCTCAACTTGACTTGACTTGACTTATTTACTTTGTCTCCCTTATTTCTCAATGGTCCAAACTAGGGGTGGGCGATATGGCAAAAATATATCACGATTTTTTATTTTTTTTTTTAGAAATATCACGATTCACGATTTTGTCATGTTGGTTTTACTATTTTGTCTGAGCATTACAGCCAAACTAATTTCCCTATTATAAAGACAAAGCCTTTCAAGGTAACGAAAAAAAGAAAGAATGGCAGATATTTAGGCCAAAATGGGCAAATATTAAAAACTTTGTCATTATTTTATCTTTGTTATTAAAAAATAAGAACAAAGATACACATTACAACTACACATAATATACTAGGTGTATTTAGCAGGAGCATTCAAGAAATTGATTGAACAAATATAAAAATAAAACACTAGGCCTATATAGACTGATTCCTAAAGCAACTGTATTAAAGTTCTTCAGTCATGAGCAGTGAGTGTTTTTTCTCTTTGCGTTTTGTTGTTTTATTAACGTTAAAGGAATAGTTGGTTCACCCAAAAATAAAAATTCTGTCATCTGTCTGTCAATTCTGTCATAGTGTTTTATTTTTATACCACCATTTAATCAAAAGTTGTTTTAAACCTGAATGAGTTTCTTTCTTCTGCTGAACATAAATGCTATTTTGAAGAATGTGGGTAACCAAACAGTTGCTGGTCCACAGCGACTTCCATAGTATTTTTTTCCTGCTTTTCAGGTACAATAGGTGTATTTAGCAGGAGCATTCAAGAAATTGATTGAACAAATATAAAAATAAAACACTAGGCCTATATAGACTGATTCCTAAAGCAACTGTATTAAAGTTCTTCAGTCATGAGCAGTGAGTGTTTTTTCTCTTTGCGTTTTGTTGTTTTATTAACGTTAAAGGAATAGTTGGTTCACCCAAAAATAAAAATTCTGTCATCTGTCTGTCAATTCTGTCATAGTGTTTTATTTTTATACCACCATTTAATCAAAAGTTGTTTTAAACCTGAATGAGTTTCTTTCTTCTGCTGAACATAAATGCTATTTTGAAGAATGTGGGTAACCAAACAGTTGCTGGTCCACAGCGACTTCCATAGTATTTTTTTCCTGCTATCAAATTCAATGTGGACCAGTAACTGTTTGGTGACCCATATTCTTCAAAATATCTTCTTTTGTGTTCAGCACAAGAAAGAAATTAATACAGGTTTGGGACAACATGAGAGTGAGTAAAAAATGACAGAAAATAAATTTTAGGGTGAACTATCCCTTTAATGACAGTCGGCTGCATGTTTAATACTGTCCCTTTAAGAGCTGCACGCATCTAATATACAGGCACGTATCCGTTTTTCTCTCAACTGTTTACTTTCATTTTAGACATAACCAACTGAGTCTATATGTAAACATTTT